GTTCCATTGATCTATGGGCCTAATTTTGTGCCAGTACCATGTTGTTTTTATAACTATAGCTCTGTAATACAGTTTAAAATTTGATATAGTAATCCCCCCAGCATTGCTCTTAGTACTCAGTTTTGCTTTGGCTATCTGAGGTCTTTTGTGTCTCCATATGAATCTTAGGATGGTTTTTTCCAATTCTGTGAAGAATATCATGGGGCTTTTGATTGGCATTGCACTGAATCTATAAAAGGCTTTTGGTAGGATGGTCATTTTCACAATATTACTTCTTCCAATCCATGAGCTTCCATATTCTGATGTCTACCTCAATCTCTTTCTTTAAAGGTTTAAAATTTTCATTGTATTCCGTAATTCTTCCAATCCATGAGCATGGGAGGTCCTTCCATCTTCTAATATCTTCCTCAATCTCTTTCTTTAAAGACATAAAATTTTCATTGTAGAGTTCTTTAATGTCTTTGGTCTCAGATTTCTTTTCAGCTATTGTGAAAGGGAGTGTTTCCATGTACTCTTTCTCTGATTGTTATTGGTATATAGAAAGGCTACAGACTTTTGTAAATTAATTCTGTAACCTGCCACTTTACTGAAAGTGTTAATCATTTCTAGGAGTTTTCTGGTGGAATTTTTGGTGTCTCTTAGATATAATATCATATTGTCTACAAAAGGGATAATTTGCTCTCTTCTTTTCCAATTATTACTCCTTTAATTTCCTGCTCTTGCCTTACTGCTTTTGCAAGAGTTTCAAGACCTGTGTTAAAGAGGAGTAGAGATAGTGGACAGCCTTGTCTGTTTCCTGATTTTAATAGGAATGCTTCCAGTTTTTCTCCATTTAGAATGATGTTGGCTGTGGATTTGTTGTATATGGCTTTAATTATGTTGAGGTATGTTCCCTCCAGTCCAATTCCCTCTAGGACTTTGAACATAAATGCATGATGAATTTTGTCAAATGCCTTCTCTGCATCTATTGAGATGACAATGTGGTTCTTGTTTTTGAGTCCATTTATATGATTTGTGACGTTTATTGACTTATGTATATTGAACTATCCCTGTGTCCCTGAAATAAAGCCAACTTGATCATGGTGGATGATCTTTTTGATGTGTGTTTGTATGGGGTTTGCAAGTATTTTGTTGAGGATTTTTGCATCTATGTTCATTAAGGATATGGGCCTATAGTTTTCTTTTTGGATTGTGTCTTTATCTGGTTTTGGTATGAGAGTGATGCTGGCTTCATAGAAGGAATTTGGAAGTTCTCCCTCTATTTCTGTCTTTTTGAATAAATGAAGTAGTATTGGATATAGATCTTCTTTAAGAAACTGGTAGAATTCTTCTGTAAATCCATCTGGTTTTAGGCTTTTCTTAGTTGAGAAGTTTTATATTGTTGTTTCAATTTCCTTATGTGTTATGGGTCTGTTTAAGCTGTTGATTTCTTGGTTTAGTTTTGGTGGTTCCCATTCTTTTAGATATCCATTTATTTAGGTTCTAAATTAGTAGCATACTGGTTTTTAAAGTGTTCCCTTATAATGTTCTGCATATTTTTGGTGTCTGTTGTGATGTTTCCCCTTTCATCTCTGTTTTGTTGATTTGGAAGTGCTCTTTCTTTCTTTTGGTTAACTGGGCTAGGGATCTGTCAATCTTGTTTATCTTTTCAAGGAATTAGCTCTTGGATTCATTGATTCTTTTGGATTTTTTTTGTTTGTTTCTATTTCATTAATTTCTGCTCTGATTTTTGTTATTTCTTCTTGTCTGCTTGGTTTGGGTTTAATTTATTGTTGCTTTTCAAGTGTCTTGAGTTGCAATATTAAGTCATTTATTTGTGTTCTTTCTCATTTTTTAATCGGCACTTAGAGCTATAAACTTCCCCCTAAGAACTGCTTTCAACGTGTCCCAGAGGTTTTGTTGTGTTGTATTGTCCTTTTCATTTAGTTACAGGAATACTTTTATTTCTTTCTTAATTTCTCCTTTGACCCATTCATCATTCAGGAGTTGTTGTTTAATCTCCATGCATTCATGTAGTTATTAGGGTTTCTTCCACTGTTGATTTTAAGCTTTATTGCATTGTGGTCTGATAGAATGCATGGAATTGTTTCAATCTTTTTGTGTTTGTTGAGGCTTGTTTTGTGCCCCAGTATGTGGTCAATTTTTGGAGAAAGTTCCATGGGGCACTGAATAGAAAGTATATTCTTTGGTGCTTGGGTAAAATAGTCAGTATATGTCTTTTAGGTCCATTTGATGTATGGTATTGTTTAATTCAGATGTCTCTCTGTTGATTCTCTGTACTGTTGACCTATCTAATCAAGATGATGGGGTATTGAAGTCCCCTATTATTAATGAATTGGGATTAATCTGGGTCTTAAAGTCTTGTAGTACTGTTTTTATGAAGTTGGGTACACCAGAGTTTGGTGAATATATGTTCATGATTGTAATATCTTCTTGGTCAGTTGTTCCTTTGTTCAGAACAAAGTGACCCTCTTTATTTCTTCTGTTTAGTTTTAGTTTGAAGTCTATTTTGTCAGATATTAGAATTGCAACACCTGCTTTTTTCTTAGTACCATTCACTTGGTATATTTTTTTTCATCCTTTCACTTTAAGGTAGGGCCTGTCCCTGAAAAGTGAGATGAGTTTCTTGCAGACAACAAAAAGATGGGGTTTGTCTCTTAATCCATTCAACTAGTCTATGTATTTTGCCTGGGGAGTTCAGTCCATTGATATTTAAAGTTATTAATGAAAGATGTGTATTGATTCCTGTCATTTTCATTTCTGTTCACATTCTTGGTGTAGCTGTACATTTCCATAATTATACCTTCATTAAGTTTCTTTCTGTAACCCCTTGGGTCCTTCCTTTCTTCAGCTCTTTGTATTACTTCAAGAACCCTCTGAAGGGCTGGTTTTCTGGACATGAATTCTTTCCACCTATTTATGTCATGGAAGATTTTCTTTCCCCTTCGACTATAATAGACAGTTTGGCTGGGTAAAGTAATCTGGGTGGGCATCTGTGTTCTTTCAGAACTGGGAATACTTTGGCCCAGGTTTTCTGGCTTTCATAGTTTGCACTGAAAAGTCAGCTGTAATTCTGATGGGTTTTCCTTTATATGTGACTTGTTTTTCTTTTGCAGCTTTCAGTATTCGCTCTTTGTTCTGTATGTTTAGTCTTTTTACTATGATGTGTTATGGAGAGTTTCTTTTCTGGTCCTGTCTATTTGGTGCTCTATGTGCTTCTTGTATTTGTATGGGTATGTCTTTCTTGAATTTGGGGAAATTTTCTTCTACAATCCTGTCGAAGATCTGTTCCATACCATTATCCTGATATTCTTCTCCTTCCTCTATATGATGCCTAAGTTTGGTCTTTTTATGGTGTCACACAATGCCTGCATATTCCATTGTTGTGTTTTCTTAAATTTTTCATAATCTTTGCTTGAGTGGTCTAATTCTTCCACTTTATCTTCCATCTTGATACTCTGTTTTCCATTTCATTCATCCTATTGGTGAGACTTTCTCCTGTCATTTCTAATTGGCTTAGTGAGTGTTTCATTTCAGCCTGAGTATTCTTCAATATTTCTCTTTTCTGAATTCATTCAGAAGTTTGTCCTTATCTTCTTCCAGTTCTTCGATTTCTTTGTTTGTGTGTTCTTTAAATTCACTGAACTCTTTTAGCATGCTTATAGTTGTTCTTTTGAGCTCCGTGTCCTGTGTTTTCTCTAGGAGGTTCTCATTGTACTCCTCTACAGGACTATTGGTACCTGGTGGGGATATATTACTTGGGTTTTTCATGTTATTCTTTTTTCACTGTCATTTTAACATGTGGACTTCTTTTGCAGTTCTTGATTCTTGTGTGAGATTCAGGCATTCCTTTGTTGAGTTTAGGTCTGCTTCTTTTTTTAAACTTTATGTGTCTTTGTGGTTTACTTGTTGAGCACGAAAAGCTGGTCGGTCTAAGCTTCAGGTTTTCTCCTTTGATTTTGTATTGGAGGGGCCAGATGGCTTTCATCCTGCTGCTCAGGAGTTCCCACAGAGGCCCATGTCAGATGAGGATCAGATGATCTCAGGCTTTCTCCTAAGGTCTGGATCTCTACAGAAAAGATGCTGGCCTCAGGAAGTTGGGGGCTGGGCTTGTCAGGGTCCAGGGCCTGTCTCAGGCATGCAAAGGCAAGGTGAGGGAGGGAACAGGCTCTAAGGGTTCCCCTGGGACTAGGCCTAGTAACTGGGTTGGTCTGGGTGCAAAGGGTCAAGAAGCAGTGGGGAGTCTAGGCCAAGAGGGCAGTCCAAGATCTGGGGTGTCAAGAGAAGAAATGGGCCAGTACCCACACTAGGAGGAGAGATGGGGTAGGGAAGCTGGGAGGGTGAACTAGGCTGGGGGACTCAAGGCGCAGTGAGTGCACACCAAACTTACCCAGGAAAGACCTTTTTTGAATTTTTTTTAAAACATTTTTTATTATTTTATTTTACTTGTATGAGTGTTTTGCCTACATGTATGTACATGCACTGGTGTCATGCAATGCCCACACAAGTCAGAAGAGGGTGTCAGAGCCTCTGGAACTGGAGTTACAGGTGGTTGTTAGCCACCATGTTAGTGCTGGGAAGTGAACTCAAGTTCTCTGCAAGAGCAGCCAGCGTTCTTAACCACTGAGCCATCTTTCCAGCCCAAAGGCGTTTACCTTTCAGAATCTTAATTTCTGTCTACTCTAGCTCCTACTAAAGCTGAATGACAAAGACCCCTGGGGATAGCTCCAGCTTGGGTGTTCTGAAACACCTGTTTGCCACAGTCACTGGCCTCCTTTGTGCCTCTCATTTACCAAGTAAAACAAGGCCCTTAGACTTGTTGATATAATTCCAATAAAATTACTCGAGTTCCTTGAAGAAAGCTACTCACCCATTCCAAATTTTTGTTATTGCTGCTATCAACCAAATTACAATGAATCACAATTTTCTTAACATCATGCAATCTGTAAGTGGTAGTGGGGTGTACTTTCAAAGTTCAAATGTTGTTTTCTTTGTTGCAGGATTCTTTTCTCCATGGAAAACTCCAAAGCCTGTAAGTTTGAATTGCTATGTTTTTTTCTTTATTTCTATTTACTATATAAGCCCATTAAATTGAGTGCCTTTAGGTGTTCTTCTTTCTGAGATTCCATGTTAGAAGAGCAAATTGTCTGTGCCCTCCTATTCCAGTTGCCCCGAATATAAGAATAACTTATATTCTTACACTTTTTACTTTTTCTAATTATGAATTTTTTAAAATATGCTTACAACATGAACATCAGTATTATTCAGGATAATGCAACAAAACACTTTAGTTTTTTCCTATCACAAATGTTATATAGTCAAGAAGTTAAATTAAGTTTTTAGAAACAATGCAGACTTCAGGGCTGGAGACCTTGACCTGCAAATTAAATATGGTCCACAATAAATTTATTTGCATTTGTATTTGCATTGTTCTATATTAGTAATAGTTCTATATTATATATATATTCCAATCCTCACAATCACTCAATGTAGTACTTCTAAATCATCTTCAGATACTGATAATCTCTGCTATCACATAATCTCTCTGGGCTCTTATGAAGATGCTGAAATTTTACACCAATATAGGAGACTAATGACTTAAAAAGAATATTTAGAGCTTATTTAATTTTTTATTTGTTTTTATTTTATGTATATGAGTGTTTTGCTTGAATATATGTGCATTATATGCATGCAGTGACCACAGAGGCCAGAAGAGGGCATCGGCTCCCCTGGAATGAGAGTTACAGATGGTTGTTACCCATCATGTGGGAGCTGGAAATCAAACCTAGGTTCTCTGTAAAATCAGCTAGTGCTCTTAACCACTGAGCTATCTCTCCATCCCTGAGACTAGTGATTTTTAATGTTTTTATAAAGCCAGACTAGCCTAGTGGATTTAGCTGTTAGAGATAGTCTTCACTTGCCTTTACACTGAAATTATTTGTTAGTCAGCTTTCTAGCACTATAACAAAATACCGAAGATTACTAGATTATAAAGAGAAAAGACTTATTTTTGATTATGTTTTGAAAGTTTCTGCACGTGATTGGTCCCCAAGGCAGGACCGCCCAACAAGAAAGCTTCTTATATCACTAGCCGTGGAGCAAAGAGAGGAACAAAAGGGGAAAGGGCCAGGTCTGGCAATGGTATATTCCAAATAGGCTCTGTCTTCTTTCCCATTGTCCAAGGACCAAGTCTTTACCCAACATCCAAGCTATGGCACTATTAACTACCAAAGTCCCAAAAGCTGAGCTAGTTTTCTGGAATCCTGTTTTTTGGTACCTTAGAATATGCTGCTCTAACAGAATACCTAGCTAATCCTACAGCTGGACAAGTGCAGCAGCAAAGCAGCACACTCATCAAGGAGGTCTTTGTGTATGATTCCACTCTTCTGGTCTGCAGAACATATCAAAGAAGGAAAACGGCCTCTTTGAACTTAGCAAACCCCTTAGTGATGCGTGTAATTTTGAAAGATATATTTTTAAATGTTTGAAATGAAATTTGGTTTATCTTGCCCAGCTTGTGAATAGTTCCATTCTTTCATCACCAATTCAAATCTTGGCTCTGTGGTTGTACACATCTTTATCTAATTTAACCAGGAAACTTGCAGCCTCATCATGGTGCTACAATTATGCAATCTAGTGATTTCCTTATATGTGCCACATTCACACAAATTATGTCATTTGGCATAATTACAGCATTTGCCATCATTATAGTAATTACACACATAGTCAATAATTCCCAAAAAGGTTTTATAGAAATCAACGTACAATTAATCCTGAACCTGTGCATCTCTCAAAAGCTTGAACTTCCAGGTCCCAGGCTTTTAATTTTATGTCCTTCATGTATCTACATAAAAGTCTTTATACCAAGAACTAGAAGAGGACCAGTATGTATAACCTAATGGTTTAGGGTGAAGACTCTTAAGGTATGTTGCCTGGGTTTAAGTTTTGCTGCTTTTCCTCACTGGTTATGTGTCCTTAAAGCAGCTACTTAAAATCTCTGCATCTCAAGTTCTGCATTTGTAAAATGGAGGTGAAAATAATAATAATAATAACAATAATAATAATAATATCCCTCTCATAAGGTTTTTGTGGTGAGTCTATGAGTTAATCCATGTAAAGTGCTTAAAACATTTCTTCTATGTGGAGCTTAAAAACATAAGCATAACATAGAAATCAAATCCTTAGTGCACAAACCCTTAGTAAACAAATTACTATATACAATTAATATAATTTTCTAGACTATTAACTGAAACAGATACACAATACCTACAGTATATGGGTTAATACAATTCTGAAGAGGACTGATGACACAAAGAAAGAAAGCATCTGAACTGAGACTTCACCCCCTGCTGATCCTGTGCCACTCAGTGACTTTCTTCTGTCCTAATCCATATCTTAAGCTCATCCACATCAAGATACTGCTGTTGAATAACTGAGATACTAATCATAGTGAATTCTCATTTGCCTTGTCTGGAAGGGATCCAAGTTTCAAGTACAGAATCAAGCCAAAAGCTATCACTGCCCAGCCCCACCTAACATAGTGACAGTAGTAGGTTTGCACTACCCTAGCCTCAGCAAAAGAAAAAAAGAAAAACAAATTCTGGGCACACTATTTTGTTGTGGGAAAAGGCTGTCTTATTCCCAAGCTCTGTCTCCTGTGCACTCCCTAGAAGCAGAAGTTGAGGATACAACAATTACCACAGCAGTGACTGAACATCTCTGTTTCATTGTTTGATGCCTGGATATGGACTGTGTGTTTTCTCTATCCACTCATAGTTAGAGACAGCATTTTCATACTGCCAAATATTTATTCATTCATCCATTATTCACTCATTCATTCATCAAGGCCAGGAAAGTCTTCCATCACACACCGAAAACAACTTCATTTCCATTTTCCTTCTTTACTCTAGTGAGATGCTTACAAACATCAACCCAGGAATAAATGCTGAAACAGAACAGGAGAATCCCAATAAGCAGCCTAGTTGCAAAATAAATGTCTGGCAGGTAACATGAATTGTGAATGACTCCTGCTAAGAAGACATTAGGGGGGCTGGAGAGATGGCAGGCAATACACGCATACACATAAAATAAAAATGATAAAATATTAATAAAAAAGAAGAGGACATTAAGTAGAACAAGTGAGACCCATGGCCCTGGGCAAAGACAGGATGAGAATCCAGGATATTCATGAAGGTACAGACTACCACAGGATGCCCAAGTAGAAAGCAAGAATCCAGAAACCAAGTCATCTCAGGAAGTAAGGAGAAGCCCACAGAGCCCGTATTCAGAAGGTTGCATGACCAGCTGGCTAGCCTCGGCACAGGCTGGCCTCAGAGTCAGGGTAGAGGTTTACTCCAGAGCCTCCAGGGTCAAGATAACAGGTAACCCAGTTTTGAGGGAGCAGGCTAGGGGTTGGGCAGGGGAAGACTAGAAATCTACTGTTTCACTGATACTGTGATTTTTTTTTTTTACTCTCCAGTTTCTTTTAAGAACCCCTGACAGAGTGACTCAAGGGTTGATGAATGTCATAGCAAGAAGTTTGGATGCTTTTCTAACCATGAACTGGACTCTTGACTAATTTCCCAATCTCTGTGCTATAGAAACTGTAGAATTTGTCAATCTGCCACTGAAACTTTCCCTAAAAATGCCCAAAGCATTATTTATTCTTTAGTTTTATGATTGTTTTTAGAAATACAATATTTCACCTGAAGCATGCTTCCTTTAGTGACTCTACATGAGCAATACACAAACCAACAAAACACATGTGGATATCAGAAAACCAGCAGTGGAAGGTGAAGGAAGTGGGTATTTCCTGCAGCCCCATGTTGGAAAGTGGGATGTTACTACATCTCAGACCATATTTCTATGGTATTTTTTTGTTTTGGTTTGGTTTGGGGTTTTTTTGGGGGGGGGTATTTATTTTTTAGACTTCAGCATTTTATTTGGAATCCGGACTGAGAAAGCCACAGCCATAATGCATCCACATGGTGTCTAAAAGCAGCCAAAGTGATCATTAAAAATATATATAGTTAGGTGTGGTGGTGCACACCTTTAATCGTAGCACCTAAGAGGCAAAAGCAAGTAGATTGAGTTCAAGGCCAGCTTGATCTATATAGTGAATTCCAGGCCAACTGAGGCTATAGGAAGACTGTATCTCAATAATAATAATAATAATAATAATAATAATAATAATAAATTTTAAAAATATATGCCTTTAGCCACAAATGAGACCTGGTGGGGCTGGAGAGATGGTTCAGTAGTTAAGAACACTGGCTGTTCTTGCAGAAGACCAGGGTTCAAATCCCAGCACCCACATGGCAGTTCCAGGGGATCCAACACCCTCTTCTGTCCTCCGCAGGCATTGCACAACATGGGTGCACTTACCTACACACAGGCAATACACACATGCACATAAAATAAAAATAATAAATAAAATATGAAAAAAATTTTTTTAATGAGGCCTGGTATATCATAGCAAAACCACCAGTATAGATGACCAAAAAAGGTCACAGAACTTCCTATATGAATGTTGCTAGCAAATGAAATTTGAAGAGCATATTTAAGGGTATTCACTAAGTGGGAGTGAAAGGCCAGCTGAGTAGAAAATTAGCTTACAAAGTTTCCTCCCAGAGTATTATAAAGTAAACAAATACTCTTTTTAGAATTATAGATTGGTTCTGATCACGATCTGATGCTAGACCTCAGACAAGCCTCTTACCCTTTGTACTTCTAGAGAAAATATTTAATATGGGGCAGTTGAAGAACACTGAGGGGTTATCCATCCTTGCTAGCTATAGAAACTGCCTAAATGAAGTCTTGGGCAGGAGTCCAGACAAAAGACTATTTAAATAAAGCCAGTCTTACTGCATTAAAGGCAATAATCTATTTCTTTCTAAGTTTACTATGTTCTGGTCCAACCGAAACCCCTGCCACAGTCTCAGGTGGTGGGATGGGCCACAGGGATCTCTGGGGTTACTCAGGGCATGTTCACTGTCTGGGAAACAAAGGAGTATGTGGTCACTCGCATCCCTTCCAGTCTTACAGTAATGATGATTGACAGGTGAGAACTGCAGTTAGAAACCTGGCCAAAATACAGCCAGTGAGAAAATGAGAGCAGGAAAATGAAGTAGAACAGAAAGCTACGATCCTGCCACGTTCAACATACTGTATATCCACTCTAGTTTTTTAGGTGTCCTTATTTTAATTATGAGTTTGCTTATTCACTAAGAGAATGCTTTCTGAACATGTACTGTATATGGAACCCTTAATTTCACCTGGGTGTGATAGGTGGTACTTGAGGGAGCATGGAAAAGCTGCAGGATCACCCAGCTGATGTCTCCATAGTGGCCAGGTACAATAAGGGAGGAGGATGGAGAGTGGAAAACAGGTGAACATTGTGGTAGGAGAACTAGAGACTGTCTACAAAGCTTCAGGGCAGGAGAGCCAAGGAAGCCAAGGAGAGCCATCAGTGGACATAAGTAAGGTGAACAGAACCCATGTCCTGAGGAAGAATTTGGTCTTTGTCCTGACAACCATGCTGACCATGTACAGAATCTCAGGCAAAAGACTGTCCTAATCCCACTTTACATAGACTGCATTTTTATTCAAAGCAGAGAGGCAGAAGTTGAGATTGAAAGAACAGTTACTAGTTGAATGTAGGTGAAGCTGGCAAGGACAACAGCCAGAGGGATAGCCTTTTCCCTACTAAAACGATGGTATTCATCCTGGCTTCCTGTGTCTACCAATGCTGTGGTGAGGATCAGGGATCATGCATAGGAACTGCCAGTTAGAAGTATTTCACTGTAGTACTAGCAAAAACACGTAAGGAAGACATCACCACACCCACATTAAACAAGAATTCCTAGAACACCATAATTCCTGGATCCCAAATAGTTGTAGAATTGCTTACATACTGCAGGCAGGGGAAGTACTTCAAATATAGGAGGTAACTGAGATGTACACAGATGTTAAATGCATTGGCACAGACTACTTTGTTTTCTGTTTGAGAGAAGTGGTTTAATAAATTGGGACCTATACTATCTTGTAATACATGTTATCTCTATTTTATGGGGGAAAAAAGATGCAGAGAAATTAAGCGATTTTGCTAAAGATAACCAGGTAAGAGGTGACATGGTTATATAAGTTTTCATTCAAACCCAGGCACTATTTTTAATTGCAGCAGTCTGTGATGCTTTATTACACAGAAATAAAATCTTTCCTTTCAAGGCACAAATACCAAACTCTTCCCATGTTTCTTGGGGACAGAAGTCCCTAAGGCAAGAAAATCTAATGTCAAGGAAGCAAGGGAAATAGCCAGGCTGAACTCATTGTCAATCATTTTCTCTGTTCTTCTGTTTTAGATAATGGACCGGTGGGAGAATCAAGGCAGTCCTCAAACAAGTTTATCTGCTCCGGCCGTACCACAGAACCTGCCCTTCCCACCAGCCCTTCACAGGAGCTCCTTTCCTGACTCAACAGAGGCCTTTGACCCACGGAAGCCTGACCCATATGAGCTCTACGAGAAATCTAGAGCCATTTATGAAAGTAGGCGTAAGTGAAAGCCACGTAGCAAGGGTGACTGGTAGTGGCGCACACCAGCCTGGGGCTAGATGCGGGCTGAATGATCTGGCATGAGTATACCTTCTTAGTCTCAAAGGTATCTCCAAAGTAAAATCACCTACTCTAATTGTTCTTAAAAGCCTAGTTTTTCTTTTATGTTTTCACATTTTAATTGGCAATAATCATATTTTTATGGGGTACAATGTGAAGGTTCTATGCATGTATACATTCCGGAATGATCCAGTAGAGCTCATTAGCATATCAAAGAAAGGATACAAAGAAAGGATATAAGATACAGGTATCTTTGTTTTGTGGTGCAAAATCTAAACACTGTCTTTTAACTGTTTTTTAAGTACACATTATAGTTACTTCGATGTATGTTAGAACTTAACGCCTTCGGATCTGACCAAACTTTGTACTCATTGACTTAAAAAGCCTATTGCTTCTAAAAGTAAGCTTATTATTTTTCGTGTTTAAATTGCATTTCCTTCTTTTTCCCTTAATCATTTAAATAGCATCAGGGTGGACTGGAGTTACTAATTTTGTTGAAGTTTTTTTCAAATAAGAAAAAGAAATGTTTGGAACTTCCAATCCATTCAACCTGATCTTGAGTCTAAAGCTTAGATTGTCCCCCACCTCGGAGCCTTGAAGGCAGTGATTGACGAAGTCCGGGCCTTGAGTAAAATGTCAGCCAAGTTTTTCCAACACTAGATCATCAATCAATTGGTCCCCAAAGCAGAGAGACCCAGGTGCCAATCATTTCAGCCTGACTCTTCTGCGACCAGTTAATACAACCAGGTGCATTTGAGGATTGTCTTAAAACATCGTGTATGCACTTGTCACCCAATTTGAAGATCTTTGGGAATTATTTCATTACACTAATATTAGAAAGCCAAGGCTTTCAATATTATATGTACATTTGTTGTGTCCCTTCCTGCCATCTTACAGATCAACTCCTCTATGTCCTAGTGAACAGGAAACTAAATAACATGGGTGCATGTAAAATAGACTACACTGTATAATAAGAATCTGAGAAATGATGGAGAAACCAAGCCCAGTAAAAAACGCTTTGGTCCTGGCACTTCCTTTCACAGTCTGCTGATCTCCTTTGCTTCAGTGCTCTGGAGATATCTCCTTTCCAACTTCATCTGAAGCATGAATAGGAAATTTTAAATGGTGTGTGATCTCTGAGGATCTTGAATCTGCTTACTCTTTTGATGAGTTCAGGGGCTGAGAATTATGCACCCAGCTGGCAAAGGGAAAAGCAAACATGATACCTTTTCCCCATTCTCTATAACATTTTGTAGAAGTAATTTTGGTTGATAAAATAGTTAGGACAGCAGGCCATTGAGAAATCATTTTCATCAAAATGAATGTACACATGCACATACCTTTAAATAATCAGTTACATCCAACTTACTGTGTTTCATTTTCCCCCTCTGGATGAATAACTGGAATATCTTTAGAGGGATACTTACAGCATCTGCTACAGTAAAGTAAGGACAAAGTGGGCAGTTTTAACTGAATAATGTAGGGTCTACATTCAGGGTACTAGTTCTCATTAAAGCAAAAAAAAAAAAAAAAAACCTAAAAAGATATCAGCATCCCTTAATACATTTCTTCTTCAATAACCAAGTATCGAATACCCATTTTGCTCTCAGCACTGTGGAGCCACAACAGAGATGAGCAGCAAGCCCTGCTCTTGCAAACCAAATAGGGAAAGAAGAAGGGAGGTAAACAAGTGGCACAAGACACAGTAGCTGCTCCTACTGGAAGGCCGAAGCACATCACAGGATTAAAATACCACCTTCCTGGCCTCAGCTTGCTTCATGCTTGGATTCTGTCCAGGGACTGTGATGAGTCGCTTCCTCCTGGTTTTGTCCTTTCGTTAGTCATTTGCTTCAGTCCTTGTGCAATTACTAGACTAGTGCAAAACTCAGTCCAATTTAGGACCGAGGCCAGGTTTGGTATTTTTTCCCCATCTTTCTATATGTGTTTGTCTGAGACAGCTCTGCCCTCAGTTTCTGAACAGGAATGGTACATGACCCTCATACAACCCTAAAAGAATTCCGATTTCTATATCCAGATCGAGAAGTGCCAATCCTGTTCACTGCCTTTCTCCTCCTCAACTGCAGCATACTCAAACACAGCAAAGCAGCCGCCTTAACCTCTCCTATCTTTCTTTGCCATCCCCCTGGGACCTCTTTATCTGACCCCACCCCACCCCCTTGCCTCTCCAGTGGCAGCAGTAACAATTCACAGCTCCCTCCCCTAGTGCCCTTGCCCATGCTACTGTGGCTACTGTTCTGCTGGTAGTCCACATTCTTGTTTCCATCAGCACCTTCTAAGGTTTCTGAGGTCACAGGAATGTTTTCAGGTCACAACTCTCAGGCAGCCTCTAAGAAAGGGCGAGCTCATTTCCTTTCCCATGTTTCCCTTCTACCGTATTATTTCATGACTCTCAACGGAGTATGAATGAAACATAGAGATCGGTTGTCAGGGTAAGAAAAGCTCAACCCCTGAAAGTAGAGGAGATGGAAAAAGCAGGGGGCTGTTTTCTGTGCTAGCCATGAAGCTCCTCATTCCTCTGCCCAGCCATCTGCTTGAAACAAGAAAACAGCACTTTGTCCTCTGTAATTTTCCCATTCCCAAGTATGAAAAGGTTTTATTCTCTTACTTAAAATTTTAGAGTAATACTTTCTTTTAAAGACAGGTATCACAAAATTCTCCAACCTGGCCTTAACCTTTCAACCTCGCACCTCAATCTTCCAAATAGCTACAATTCTTTAATTTATATTTGGAAAGCCCAGCCTAAACCTCATTTCAAACAGTACCTTTAATACAATGATCAGAAAGCACATAAACCCAAATAAAAGGCCATATTTAAAAACTATGATTGTGAAACACTTCTAGTCACATTCCCCAGAATCATGAATACATTATTTAGGTTTGGTTCTATTTATTCTTTGCCTCAAAAGTTTTTCATGGAAGAAAACAAAATTGCTTGGAAGAGGAAAAGTGTGGCATAGACTCCTACTCAAATCTGTAAGTCCTTTGACATTTTCCTGGTGGTACAGATCTCCTGGTATCCTCCCTTATAACCACGTCAGAAGCTAAAAAGACTTATTTTCACACTCAAAATTGGGTTGCAGTTACCAAATAAAAAGATGCCCCTCCACCCACAAATCTGGGCTCTCTAGAGCTACAGAATGTTTGTTCTGTCAATAGTGTCAAGAAATATTTGGATTCAAGTCACCATTCCTCTGTAAATGATGGAAATTTATCAAATGATGTAAGCACTGCTGTGCCTCATTTGACTCATAATTAGATTATGCTGACATTTTAATGTGCATGCATAGGACATCTTAATAAAGATGTGTTCCTGGAAAAAAATGTAATTTTAAACAAACCAAGACAACCATAGGCTAGTAGAGCCACATGAAACAGAACATGACAGGTGCATACTCCTGAAAGGAAGCCGGAACCACCTCAATCTTCATGAGATGTTCTAAGACGGAGTGGCAACAGAAAAAAAAAAAAAAAAATAGAGAAAGGAAGTTCTTCCACCCAGCAGGCAGGAGATGCCTTTGATCCTTTGATTTGAGGATGTTAGGCACAGTGCCCAGAGGTGGCTCCCCCAGGCTCCACATCAATCAACAAGAATATATGAAACACATAGTATATGTCTAGAACTCTGAGAGACATGAGAGAAAATGTACAAGAAATCATCTCTGCTCGTTAGAAGCTTACAGTAAAACACATAGGAAAACAATTCCTGAACATGACTGCCTTACAGAAAACACCAAAAAACATCAGCATTTCAATGTGTGAAATGATACAATAAAAAATTACCAATACTGATTGTTTCTCAGCTTCCATGTACAAAACTGATGCTTAATCAGGAAAACATCTTCCTAGCTGTTACTGGCAAACAACTGCAAGCAGCTTGCAAAAGAGATGTTTTTCCTGTTGACTTAACTGCATGTGTTTCTATGCATAAAGATAGAAGCATGCTCAGAAAGAATTTTTTAAATTGCTAACCAATAGAACTTCTATATTTTATGTTAATTATTTAAACGTTGGTCCTGTGTCATTTGGGGTTGAATATCCTTTATCTGAAATGTTTTGTATTTGGGGTTTGTTTTCAGATATTTGGAATATTTGCATATGCATGAGATACTTAGAAATGAGACTAAATTCTAAATTTAAAAATCTCTTTTATTTCATATCTATCTGCCTTATATACTTTATGGAAGTAATTTTATACGATAGCCACACTGCACCCAGGTTTTAACTCTGATTGTCACAGTTCAAATATGGAATTTTGCACGCGGAGTTATATCAGTGTTAGAACATTCTGGATTGGGGAGCATTTACAGAGATTTAGACAAACATCACAGGTCTTGATATAGACAGTTGGAGTTGACAATTGACTTCTTGCTGATTCAGTTACTAGCAATTTTAAAAATTGACAGTAAACAGAAATGCCCACCTTGGCACAGTTGGACACGCTGTGCTATTTTGAACTTTCTTCTCAGTGGTTTACCTTGAACCTCATGTAGGATAGACATGGATTTTCTTTGCAAACACCAAAGGAACTGCTGGAATATTCTATTTGTAAACATTCCTAATGTAGTACTGTATATTCCATTCTAACAAGGGGTTTAAAAAAAAAAAAAAGTGTTTCTAAAGCCAGGCGTGGTAGTGCACGCCTTTAATCCCAGCACTCAGGAGGCAGAGCCAGGTGGATCTCTGAGTTAGAGGCCAGCCTGGTCTACATAGTGATTCCAGGCCAGCTGGGGCTACGGGGAGACCCTGCCTCAAAAAGGACAAAAAAAAAAGCATTTCTGAAGGTTCTTCCTGTTTTCCTCCTCTCATTTCCTCCCACCATTATTTCTCTGTGGCTGGTTATGTCCTTGTTTCAACCCAGTGTTTTTGATATGATAGGAAACATTTTTGAGAAGCTATTGACCAATAAGACCACTTATGGG